CAAACCATTCCCCAACAATGTGTGCAGTGTGGCAGGGCGCATGATCCTGCTGAAAGAGGCCACTGCTATCGGACCAAAACATTGCCATGAAGGGGTGTACCTGGTCTGCAGTGATGCTTACGTAGGTGCCACATGTCAAATTGATGTCCATGTGAATGTCTGGGCCCAGAGTTTCCCAGCATAACATCACCCGGAGCATCACACTCCCACCACCGACTTGTCTTCTTCCCAAAGTGCATCCCGGTGCTATCCCTTCCCCAAGTAAATGCTGCACACGTGCCCAGCTGTCCATACGATGTAAAAGAAATTTGGACATATCAGACCAGGCAACCTTCTTCCATTGTTCCAAGGTCAAGTTCCGGTACTGGTGGGCATTATAGACACTTTCGGTGGTGGACAAGAGTTAGCACATTCACTCTAACTGGTCTGCGGCTTCGCAGCCCCATATGCAGTGTGTTTTGACACATTCCTAACCATCATTTAAAATTTGTGCGACTTGTGCCACAGTAGCCCTTCTGTCAGTTCGGACCAGTTGGGATAGCCTTTGTTGCCCTTATGCGTCAATGAGCCTTGGAAGGACTGTCACTGGTTTGTTGTTTATCCCTCCTTGGACTTCTGTTGGTAGGTACTCACCATTGCTGACCGGGAGCACTCCACAAGCCTTACCATTTCTGAGATGCTCTGACCCAGTTGTCCAGCCATAATGCTTTGGTCCTTGTCAAAGTCGCTCGAGTCTTCACTCCTGCCCATTTCTCTCACATCCAACATGTCAAGTAAGAGAATGACATCCTCAATGACATTGAGTGAGCCAGTACATGTGGTAAAGGCTCAGGCCATAACAGCGCTCCCATGTTCCACAGATGAGGTGGTATACTTTGGATTTTTGGCAGTAACTTTTCACCTCCACACTTTGTTAATCTTGGTCTTATCAGTCCATGAGACCTTTTTCCGAAACTCTGCATGCTCTTTTAAGAACTTTTTAAGCAAACCTTAACCTGAGCATCCTGTTTTTGGGGCCAACTAGTTGCATCTTGCAGTGTATTTCTGTATTTCTGTTCATGAAGCTGGCAGACAGCAGTCATTGACAAGCCCACACCTGCCTCCCGAAGAGTGTTTCTGATCTGTCAGACGAGTATATAGAGATCTTTACCCATTATGGTGAGAATTTATCTGTCATCAGCTGTGGAGGTCTTCCTCTGCCCACCAGTCCGTTTATACTAAGCCAGGCTTGTCAAACTGGGGACTTTCTGGGCCAAAGTGCTGCAGAGATTAGCGTTTAGCTTCTTCTAAAGCCCTGAATTCGGTTCATGAAGGTCTTCATGAGCTGAATAAGGTGTGTTTAACGAGGCGGTGAGCTGAAGCCCGTAGTGTTTTGGCCCGTGAGGACTGGAGCTTGACACGTGTACTAAGCTCACCAGTTCTCTCTTGCTTCTTAATAATGTTTCAAAACAGATGATGTTGGTGAACCTAAGGCCTCGTCATGTTTTACTCTTGTTTCTCAGCCTTAGTAGTCAACACCTGTGAAACCCTATGTCTCATATAGTATGTTGCCTTGAAATAGGGGGTCCATAGCTGCATCCCAATTCAGGGGCTTCGGAGGCTGCATTTGAAGGCCAACTGCATCACAGCGGCGCAACTAAGCCGTCTCATTTCGAAGTCTCCTTCATATACGGCTGAGAAATGTGTTTATTTTTTTTTTTCCATGGCAACGAAGGATCCAAAGGGTGAATCCTTCACCAGCCAACATATCCTGAGGTTCATTGTGTGCTGGCGAGGATTCAAGAACATGGCAGCATCAGCAGAGGAGCGAGCGGCGGCTGAAGAGTTCACTTTAAATGTAACTATTGGGTTTAAACAGAGTTGAACAGCTAATGACAAATGTTTTAAAAAGCCAATGCGGCCTTACGCTAATGCTTCGTTTTGTTTTAGGGAGCAAGGAGCAGACAGTGAGAAGCATCTCCAGCTCTAATAAATGTAAAAACATCAAAGTTTCTGGCTCCATCTTTAAAGAACTTTTAAAGAACTTGACAAGAGTGGCGTTTCATGACACAATGGTAAGGTCAGGATCAGCCGTGCTGGGACACAAACACTGGTCTACCAAGCCTTCGACAAACATGTCTTCGCAGGATGCAGCCCCTAAATTGGGACACATGTTTAAAAAGTGTTGTAACTTCTACATTGTAAACTAAAATGGATAAAATTTACATTAATAACCTTATTTCTCACATTACTTAGTTTAATTTCACGGTGATAATCACAAAGTCTTTTTACCCATCCTTATCAAGGGAGCCAATAATTGTTGAGTTGACTATATTTAGTCCCGCTTTCAACTTCATCACAACTTAGCCTATTACATTACACATTACTGCACATTACTTATGGTGATACAATGAATGTGGTTTAACATTTTCCAAATATAAGTTTCTAAAAAAAAAACTACCTGTTTGGGGGAATTAAAAATATATATATCTTAATTCTTTGTTTCAAAAATAATAGAGGCAGGCATCATTGTCTATTCAATTTCAAGCATTTTATCGTAAGCCTTTAGAATTACATATTCAAAAGCAGACTTTCGACCTGCAATGTAAGCGCAGCCAAAAGGCTATGTTCACTCTGTGCTGACCGAATGGCAAAATGCTGAGACTGTAGTGTGCTAATGCTTATGCTAATGCTGCTCCTCCTGTTTGTATGAGGGGGGATACATTCATGACTCTCTGTTTTCACTACAAACCGTGTCATCCTGCCCTCCAACAACACTGCAGCAGCTCACACAGCGCTCCACTACTACCTGCTGAGAGAAATGATTCTGTAATGGTATAAATCAACACGTCATGCTGGTGTACAGCAGGTAATGGTTATTGATTTGTCATTTTTTCAGACCAAGCTGGGGTTTACTGTGACTGTTCTTAGCCAAGGACACGAGAAAGTCTAAAAACAAACTTGTTTCTGCTCACTTGGTCATTGATTATTGGGATGTCATCCACTAGAACACACTTTGCTCTTTACATAGCTGTAAAGAGTTTGTTAGCACAAAACTGTGAGGTCATATTGTCTCTTATGTATTCAATTTATCCACCACAACATAGCAGGAATTGTGATCGACGCTCCCTGAGTTATTTTCTCTCTGTCCCTGTAATACATGGTTTAGTTTGCAAGAGCCTTTCAATGGGAAATTCTTCAGACTTAAACCATCTGTCTGAAAACTCTTGTTTTCCTTTCAGTCCATTCTTCAGGAAGTGGAGGCCAGCCTACCTGTAAATACTTTTTTTAACATGTTATCAAATTGTACTGTTTAGACAAAGTGCTTTTAACTAGGGAAACAATTCTGTTGACTTGGTTATTTAAATATATTAATATCTAAACTTAAAGGGCTGTAGTCAAGATAACCCTTGTCAAGTCCAAGATTCTAAGAGTCTAAGACTATGACTAGTCAAGACTGAGTTGAGACTGAGTGTAAATGGGGCTGAGACTGTAGACCGTGTCCAAACCAGGTCCAAATGAGAGCAAGACCAAGTCAAGCCAGAGTCTAAATGAGCAAGGCTGCCCGAGTCCAAATGAGAATGAGACTGAGTCAAGACCGAGTCTAAATGAGAGCAAGACAGATCGAGTCCAAGTGAGAGTGAGACCAAGTCAGGGCCGAGTCCAAATGAGAACAAAACAGAGTCAAGGCAGAGTCTAAATGAGAGCAAGACAGATCGAGTCCAAATGAGGAAAAGACTGAGACAAGGCCAAGTCCAAATGAAAGCAAGACAGAGTCAAGCCCAAGTCTAAATGAGAGTGAGACAGATCAAGTCCAAATGAGAGCAAGGCCAAGTCAAGGCCGATTCCGAATGAGTGTGAGACAGATCGACTCTAAATGAGAGCAGACAGAGTCAAGACAGAGTCCAAATGAGAGTGAGACAGATCGAGTCTAAATGAGAGCGAGACTGAGTCAAGACTGAATCCAAAGGAGAGCGAGACAGAACGAGTCCAAATGAGAGCAAGGCCGAGTCAAGGCTGAGTCCAAATGAGAGTGAGACTGAGTCAAGACCGAGTCTAAATGAGAGTGAGACCGAGTCAAGGCTGAGTCCAAATGAGAGTGAGACTGAGTCAAGACTAAGTCTAAATGAGAGTGAGACCGAGTCAAGGTCGAGTCCAAATGAGAGCAAGACTGACTCAAGAGCGAGTCCAAATGAGAGCGAGACCAAGGCCAAGTCTAAATGAGAGCGAGACAGAGTCAAGACCGAGTCCAAATGAGAACAAGACAAAATTAACTTCATCAAATTCAAAGCAAAACTAAATACCTCGTCTTCTACTTACAAACACACAAGTGTTATGGATCGGAAGTTTCTTGGTATCCATCGTCCGCTCTGAATGAATCCGATGTGAATGCTAAGTGGCTAAACGAAGAACAAACATATGCATTGATCTGGTTTAGAGCAGAGGGTTGAATTGGGATTTCAGTGGTGAGGGAGCCTATTTTTTTCGATGGTTGTCAACAACGTGGGGCATTAATATTGTTCAATGTATCATGAAATACCATGACAATGTGATTAAAGCTAATAGCCCATCCGTTTCTGTCTTAATAGCTTAATTAAAGCTGTCTTACGTTCTCTCTTTTCTTTACAGTTTCCTTGTTTGTCCGTTTTGGCATCAAGATTATATCAAGATATCTTCTGATGCTTTTCAGACAAAGATGAAAGTCAAACTAAAGCCTATAAAGTAGCAAAATAAACTGTTCCAAACAATAATATCACACAGCTGACATTAAGAACCCTCCTTTCCCTCCAGCACTACAACCCTGCTCACAGTATTTTTATCACCAGCCCTAGTTGAATAAACCATATTCTTTAATAAGCCACGTTTAGATTGGAATAACAATTAAAACTAAATATTTATCCTTTGGAATAAGTTTTAAATAACTGGCTTTATTGTTTAATGCTAGGAGGTTTGTTAACACTAATTTTGGACCTCAGTGAGATTTTCCAAGTTAAATAAATCAAGAAAAAAAATAAATAAGATAGGCAACCCCTGAAAGTCAACTTTATGTCAGGCTGGTTTGGATAGGTAACAAAAAACACAATAAATTAACAAACACACATCATATTGCAGGTAAATTAAGGACATAAAATCTCTGGACAATGCAGTTTGTTCAGGCTCATCAAATCATATTCATTTCACACGAAAACGTGTAATGAAACACCAACACACTGAGCTGGGAACGAACGCAGTAGCGAATGTACATTAGAGGGAAATGATAAAGTGAGGAAGAACAAACAGGATAAAACTTCACTGAAAGAAGAACCAATCATGTGATTTACAGGTTTCCCAGTAAGACAGATCTGCGTGGGTGGTAAAGAGTGTTAGTCTTCACAGGCACTGGATTGGAGGTCATTGTGCACTAGAGAGTCTCTAATCTTTCAGTGTGTTTTCTGTCACAACTGTTCCATCACAGCAGCTCTTTGTCCACCAGACTTCCTCAACTGCTGCCGCATGCTGGGAATTACAGTCTTTGCTGCTCCGGCTGCTCAAATGTATCTGTCCTTCCGGAAAATCACTAAAGGGTATAAAACAAAAATCCTCTCCTCCCAGTCGGAGGAGGCAGCTGTCTGTTATCGTGCTGTGACCATCCATAAGCCTAAAGCCACGTTAGCAGCTAAAAGAGCGCTGCCCCCCAGCAGGATGAAGAAGCCCAGCAGTTCTCGGCTGCTCTTCTCTGGAACCAGCTTGCACAGAGTGGCCTCCAGGAAGGCGGTCAGCATCCACTGTCCGTCCAGAGCGAAGCAGGGCACTGCATTCACCACCGCCAGAGCACCGGACAACGACACCAGGTACCTCAGAACAGCAGCGGTTAAGGATAAGAGCACATAAAGGGGTTTAAACAGTAACGTTTGTGCCTATTCTACCAAAGCGTTTCAGTGTATTAGGGTAAAGACTGAAAGACAGCAGAGAGCATCTGTCAGACCATGGAAAACTACTGGGTACAACATTTATAATCCAAGACAGACCAATTTACCACCACTAGAAAAATACCAGACCCACTGGAAGGAACACAAAACATTAATAAGCCAAGTGGTGGTGATTCAGCAGCATTGACTTTAGAATTATAGAGAGTATTATTTACTGAATTTAGCATAAAATGTAGCCAGTGCAAAGTTGTGGCCCATTTTTAATTTTATGTTTTTGTTTCTTTTTTAAAATATAATAAACTCAGCAGATTGGACACTGAAATTTGAAGAAAAACAACAGATGTGAAGAGAAGAAACTTATTTTCACTTAATTTTGTATTTTAACCAGGAGTGCACAGTGAGTAGGTCTTCTATTCATATTTGTGTAATCAGTGTATTTTTAAAAATAATTTTGAAATGTTCCAAAATAAAGGAATTGTGGTGTTAACTGAGATTTCATGACACACTGAACCGTTTCCTAAAGAATCACAATCAAACCGTGGTGAGGTCAGAGATTTACACCCTTTACAAGCTCGGTTACTATAGCAGGGATAAATACGCATTTACACACTATGAAAATGCCTAAGTAACAGTTGGATCAGCTGCAAATGTAAAGGCAGGGTAAAGGATACTTGCTCAGGGTCTCCAGCATCACAGGCAGGTCCAAGTGAAGGAAGCCCAGGCGAGGTACAAAGTTGGTCAGACTCACTACAGAGGAAAAACACCATTGCTTATGTAACATTTTGCATCATTAAATGCATACGATGTAAATAAAGTCATTCAGAGAGGTTTGATGTGAAATGTACCATTGCAGAACTGTTCACAGTGGTGGTGATAGGAACCAGATGTCTAAAGTTTTTAATATCTCTGAAACCTACCACACAGAATTTACATAAAATGCTTTGGGCCATTGTTTTGCAATAGTTTTGAGATAAAGTTGTTATTTTTAAAGATATGTTAATGGCCTGAGATGTATACCGATGCTGTTGGAAGAAAACCTCGTATCTCCATTTTTGCTGTTTTTTCGTTTTTTGAAATAATTTGAAAATACCTCTTGTCCTTTACATTGTGTGTAAATTCCATGATGAATGGACCAAAAGAAATGGCCCAAAATGCCATGGAAAAAATTCTGGTTCCATTGACTTACATTAAAAGTAGAGTATGTTTTTTCCTTCTCCTGTAAAGTTACCAATTTGGAGATACAAGGTTTTGTTCCGACAGCAACGATATGCAGGGTGTTGTAAGGTGTATGTATGTATAGTCCTTTTGGATGTGTTGCTGTTATTGTGGCTAAGTATATATACAAAAGCCCCATTTCATAAACCACCCTGACTTTGTTTACATCTCAATGACCGACTCGGTGAAATTCCCCATTAATAACAACTCAGTCATTTTGGATTACTTTCCATGTTGTTACTCGATGATATGTCTTAGAACATGGATGTACGAAGAAGATTACCTTCAACTCTAGACTTGTTCAGTTATTAATATTAAGACTCATTATTCAGAAACTACCAGAGGGGAATATTTAAGGCCTAGTGACTCTGGGAACAAAAAAAATTAAAAAGTCAATAATTTTTAGTCTACTTGTATTTAACAGAATCATTGTGCTTGTTGTAATTAACCACCAACAGAATTTGGAAGTGATGGTGAAACTAACCAGTCAGGTTTTGATTTTTTCAACATTTGGGACCAATTCCATGAGAAACAAGAATGTCATTTTAGGCCCCCTGGACGTCATAGATACATCACTGTGAATACGAGCAGTAGTCTAAACAGGTTTCAGCCTTTAGTTAGAAATAGAAAACAGCAGCAGCTCTACGCCAGGGCTCTGAACTGAATATATACAATGTATTTTAATGTCTGTTACAAACTTCAAATAAAAAACATAGAATGATCTTCACAAACTTCAAACGCCTGTTCAACCTAGAACAGCAGAAAAATGTTCACCCGTGACAGCGTTAGCTTAGCACTAACATACTATTAGAAATCTCAGAGCAGAAATGAATAAGACCTCTCTTACAGTCATATGATTATTCTGTAACTATTATGAAATGAATATGCAAGTTATACAGTTAAAACAATGAAGACCTGAAGTTTTGGTCCATATAGGGGCCTTTCGAGTTTAAGAGGTTAAAAAAGAAGCAGACCTGAGAACTGCAGGTGAGAAGGATAGCCCACAAACAGCATGTCTGCCTGGGGCGCATGCTTGACCCGTATCAGCCGCGTCTGGTTCTCTAGCGAGGGGATCACGCACAGGCTGGGGCTGAAGTCCGTCTGGCAGTCTGCGTTGGTACGGCACGTACGGCTCGCTTGGATGGTCTTTCTAGCCGGCAGGCAGGCGAACTGGGACAGAGAGACGGCTGAATAAAGGATGACAAAGAACCCAATTTTGCTCTGAGTGGGTGTGGGCATGCTGACTTACGAGTCTGCTCTCCAGGTTACTGCTATACGCAAAGCAGAGATCAGTCAGGCTGCTATTGCTGCAACACTCCATCGTCCCATCTAGACGCTTGTAAGCTACGAAAGAAGAGAAAGATAAGTTCTACAGTAAAAGAGAAAGATGAGCACTACAGAAGTAGATCATGATATACAGAACTTTATTATACTAAGTCTAAGGCCATCATTCTAATATTAGATACACTATTATATCCACTTTACAATCTACAGTACTAGTTTACACTGTTAATTCTGTATTTATTTGCTCAGAAAACACTGTAAAAATGTCAGCATTCCTATCCAAATTACATATTTTGATGATTTTGAAGTGAAAAAACTAAATGTGAATGCACAGCTACATTATATTTGATTAACGTAAAATAATAGTGATAGTAGTACTGTGATGTGCAAAAGTTTGGACACCCTTTCATTTGTAAAGTCTCAGAACTTATTTGACTTGTTAAGACTGGTTGGGCAGATAATAAATTCTCTGACCCTCTTATCAAACTCTGTGCTAACACTCAACCGTGGTCTCCTCTAAGGTCCTGTTCACACTTGGTATTAACATCCAACCTCCTTATGGTCTGATCATAAACAGATAGCAAGATGTTTACGCTTGGCATTTTCGTGTGTCTCGAATGCGTGTCCAGTGATTGGACTTCGTGCCTGAAGGAAGGATGTTGTCAATGTTTGTGAAAATATAAGGGCTTTTACAAACATTTAGACCACACGAACTGCTAACAGGGCTTGTAAACAAACACTAGAGGAAGCAAAAAAAACGAGGCTACGCAGCTGCTTTCGTCTCTGCTGTGGTGACGCAGCTGATTAAGGCGGTCCTTTGCTGCTGTCGACGCATCAATGCACTAAGGATTCACACTAATGTTATGTGGTCATATGCGTCCCTGACCACCTCCAAAGCTGGTTTGAGTGATTGGATCACAAAGTGTCTCCAAGATGCATTGAATCCCATTCACTTCTGTACTTAGCGCTGTGCATTTTTGATCAGATCACCCAGGATACTTTATTGCCAAGTGTGAACGGCACTTAAGTAGCTGGCTGAGCAGTGGAAGGCTATAAAAAGATGTCAAACCCAACTTTCAACCTGCATACTGCGCTATTCAAATGTCATTAAGAAACGTTAGTTAAGGAGAACTGTAAAAGTCAAGGCAAAATCTGGAAAACCCACAAAAGAAATCTCAGAACTGCAGGAAAATGATCCCAAACATACCTTAAAATCCACCACAAACTGCTTCAAAAAGCTTATGGCCCTCACTGTCCCCTGACTTCAACAATTACTATTTTTTTCTATTTTTAAGTTAATCAAATATAAAGTAACTGTGTTAACTTTTGCTTTTTAACAGTTTGCTGCAGAGATTGTGTTCACTTCAAAAATCTTTTTTCACCAATAAATGTGAATGTTATAATAAGTATTTCAGTTTTTTGTATTATACAGTTCGGCCAATCAGAACAAAGGTCTTTTACATACATCAGTATTAAACACACAGTGACAAAAATCTTCTAAGAGATTAAAACAATTCGGAAAATTGTCATATAAAAATGACAGCACATAAACTCACAGACTTAACATGTGGACGTCTGGCAAAAAAATACAGAAGGTGGTCCCTTTAAACTAAATCAGGAGTGCCGGTGGGGGAATTGAACAAATCTATGCCAATGGCTGAGGAGAACAGGATCCAACCCATCCTTTAATCATCTCACAAGACATTAATATCTTTTGTGAAAACAAGAACGTCTTGTTATGCTATATATGTTTCTAATACTATATAATACACAATAACACTGAACTGGTCAGGTAAATAGCTTTAAACTAATTTTTGCCTGTACCTCTGCCAGCTGCCCGGTTGAGCTGCAGGGTGGCAGAGGGGACGCAGTAGCCACTCTGAGGTTGGTGGGCGAGCTGGTGGAGGCAGGAGTGCCAGTCCTCCACCCCTTTCACACTACAGTCCTCCAACTGAGTGACCAAATCCCCAACAAAGAGCCCACGAGGACCACTAGACGGAGAGCCCTGCAGCAAGAGACAAGGACCAGAAAAGTGTTGGACTTAGAGGTCTGTGAAGTGATAGATGAAGACTCGAGATGCTACATTCCTATTTGACAGAGTGGGAAAATGAGTTAGATGTAAGCACCCATACTGACCTCCACGACCTCTGTAACCAGGGCTCCTGCTCCAGTGTAGTAGAAGGGGAAGAGGAGGAGGGGCAGCAGGAGGAGGAAGCACACAGCAGCCACGCACAGCATGAAGTTGTGCCAAACACCTGCACACAGAACAACTGAATGTGACTTCAAAATTCAGGGCTCAGGCTTTCATTCCTCACTCTTTTAGTTTATAACTGTTTGTACTGCTTTCCATGTAGTTAATGAATAATTAGTCATAGGATGTAACGAGCCTGTGAATTTAAGGGCTGAGTATCATCCTACACTGTTTATACTACACATACACTACAAACTAGAGGAGGGCGATACAACAAAATGTAATATCACAATACTTCAGCAGGTTTTTTATGACGTGATGTGTCACAGTATTTAGTTTTTCTGATTTCTGATAATTGATAACCTAAAATGCAGTGTCATATTTTAAAAATACTATCAAAACTATGAAGCCAATTATTTGTATTCAACATTTCGCAGTGTGCTGCACTAAATCCAATTAAACGGCACTAATTATGCTCTCTTTTCATAACAATACCTGTAATATGCTCAGAAAATCGTATTGTGACATATTCTAATATAATTTATGACAATAACAATAAATACTGTCATACTGCCCAGCCCTACTACATATAGTCATGTGCAAAAGTTTGGGCACCCCAGTCAAATTATGTTTTGTTGATTTTCTAAGTAAAATAAGTGAACGCTTCCTCTACAGAGAACACCCTTCTGCACATTTTAATGCACAACTACTGTTTATTTGCTGAATTCAGCATCTTGGCATGGGTGAGTGTGGCATGTGTGACACTTTCCTCTTATATTTTTTCCCTCAGTATGTTAAAATGAGCAAATAAATAGAAATGGTGCCCTAATTATTTACTATTTGATTGACTATGTTAAGAATTAAACATGTAGACACATTCACATCCCACAGACACCCCTGATCAAATTACATATTTGTTTACTTTCTAAGTGAAAAGAAGTTAAAACATCCTCTACATCCTCTCTAAACTTAAAAAAAAACTTAGTGCACAATTCTTTTATTTACTGAATTTAAAATACTGAAAAAAACAAACACAAAATATCTTTTGCACGGGCCAATTTTATGTTTTGTCTTTTCCCCCTAAGTCTAGTGAAATTCAGCAAGGAGGGAGTATAAATAAACAGTAGTTGTGCATTAAAATGTGCGGAGGTGTGGTCTCTGTAGAGGATGTGTGAAACTTATTTTTACTTAGAAAATCAACAAAATCTGATCGGGGCACTCAAACTTTTACTCATGACTGGACATCACAGACACAGCGAGTAGCTATGGCTCCATCTAGTGGCGACTCTGTGAAATGAATCTGAGAGCAGGATGAACAAGTCAGTTTGGGCAAACACACATCTGCACATACATACCAGCACAGAATATGCGCAACTGCTGCACAGGAGAGATGAGGGTCAGGTGAGTGGTGAACAGGTCCACAAACGCACCCGGATAGATTACAAACATAAACATGCCGAAGCCGTTTAGCCTCACCTGCTCCCTGTGGACAGCAGGAAACAGACACAAAGTCAGGATGGTCAGCTTTTATATGTTTATTTTCTTCCATACATGACCACTGTGTTAGTGGATATTTGTAAATGTGAATTTGTTAATGGTTTGTGTGAAAATCACAAAAACAATGAATTTAAAACAGGCTGTTTAGCAGCTTAGTTTGCATATCAGTCATGGGGGCAATCGTGGGCTTGAGGTTAGGGAACCTTGTGACCACCGGACTGAGGTGCCCTTGAGCAAGGCACCTAACCCTCAACTGCTCCCCGGGCGCTGCGGATAGGGCTGCCCACCATTCCAGGCAAGTGTGCTCACTGCCCTCTAGTGTGTGTGTTCACTAGTGTGTATGTGGTTAGATTGCGGAGGTGAAATTTCCCCGTTGTGGGATTAATACGGGTCACTTAATCTTAATGTCGCTGTTTTCGGAACAAAACCTTGTATCTCTAAAGTTAACTTGACAGGAGAAGGAAAAAACCTTCTTTACTTTTAATGTAAGTCAATGGAACCAGACTTTTTTCCAAGTCATTTTTGGCCCCTTTTTTGGTCCATTCATCATGAAATTTGCACACAATTTAAAGGACAAGAGGTATTTTCAAATGTCAAAAACTGAAAAATGGAGATACAAGGTTTTGTACCGACAACAGCGATATACGGTCTGTACAGACGGGGAAATGAACTGTATATTTGAAACATTAATGATGTTATGTCATGTAAAAACCATGGTCTTTAGCGCTGGTCACTGCGTACACATTACATAGCTGTTATTAGTTAAGACATGGCTTTTAGGATTAGTGGTGTGACCAAGTTTAGTAAAAGGATAGTCTTAAACTAACCACTGTTAACTAAGAATTTAGTAAAGATTGGTAAAGCTGGTACAGCCCAGTCTTGAACTAGAGTTGGGAAACAGTGGACTAGACTAAAATGCACCGTCATGGCTGATTGTGCTTTGTGAGGATCCCCATTGCAATACACTCTTACCTCAGTGCTGCCACCCCATGGCCAAACTCATGTATGAGCCCACTGACCAGAATAGCAACAAAGAAGTAGGCCAGCTGACTGACAGGCAGATTCACACCAGGCACCTGGCCATCAACAGAAATGACAGACAAGATATGACTCAAATGTGCAAGTTGAACCATAAAAATCACAGTACACAGTGTGTGGCAGAATAAAAGGTTAATCCATGCAACCCAATAAACTCGACTGGTTTAAGGTGACTGCAGATCTTCAAGGATATTCACTGAAAGCTGCAGTCTACTCATGACCATCAGCACTCACTTAGAAGAAGAGTGCAGCAATAAAGTAGTTTACAGAATTCTTCCTTCCCCTGAATGTGGACAATCAACCAATGTGTGAGATAAAGAAGCAAACTTCAGACACCAAATATGTCTTGATTCTTCTTCTATGCTTGAAGGAGAAAACTGAGTTTTGCTGAACTATTCTTTTGAAGTGGTTTTCAGGGGCGACACACGTCACTATTCTTTTTATAGGCCAAAATAGCAGCAAATAAAACTTACGTCTGATCTCAGCACTAGAAAATGGAAATATCGATCAGCTATAGATCAGAATCCGACAAAATGCGGCCTAAATATGTGATCGGCGATCAATCAATATTCCTTTATTTTGTCCGATAGTGAGAGCCGATGAATGACGCAACATGTGAGCCCAATTTCGCTACTGATAGCGAAACAATTTGGCAGATTTTATTTTTTTTAAATATCTGACTCAGGCCAAGCTAATATTATTTACATATTCTGAAAAATAAGCATGACCCGAGATTTTAACTTAGAACACAATTACATATGACACTTTACAAAACATCGACTAACCGAATACAGTGAGTACGAGCAGCTACTCTATAGCAGAACTAATGTTACGACACAAACAATAAGCTACCAAACTGTGAAGAGTGTGTATAACATATACACTGAAATTCACTAAATTACACTGGAATACAGTGAAATAATTTAGTTTTCTGAGTTTGCAGTATGCCTGGTGATGACTTATGAGTTTGCCATGAAAAGCGTTTAATCATTTAAGTATTTGTATCTGAAAATACATTAGAAAACAGAAAAAGGCACATGAGCATTGGTTCATGACGCTGTAAGGCTACGTTCACGTTACAAGCCTCATTGCTCAAATCCGATTTTTTGCTCAAATCCGATCTCTCTGACGCAATGGTTCACACTCGTTTAGGTAAGTGATTCAAATCTGTCATTATTTTTATGTCATTTTATGTCGTGTAAGGTGAGATGTGCTGCTTTTCCACTGTTTACAGGCTTTAACTTCCGTTCGGCGCTGAATGATGGAGCACGCGCAGTGGAAAAATAGCACATGAATACTGATTTGAGCGTCACAGTAAGGTTGCATGACCACAAATCGGATACGTATCAGATCTAGGACCACATATAAAAGTGGCTCAGGTCGGATTTGAAAAGATCAGATTTGCGATACGGATTTGTACCACTTAAACCTGGTAATGTGAACGTAGCCTAATTTGTTCCAGTGTTGTTAAACCAGTTTAAACCATGTTTGTTGTTTTTGCTTGTGTAGTAAAGTGTCACGTTATCCCACCTCATACTAAAGGACCTCACGCTATCGACCTCACGCTAAGTCTGTTTGGTCCAGATTTACTCACCACCACCTGCAACACCTGCTCATGGGATCCCTCAGGGGTCTCGGCCATCATCTGAGCCAGAGTCTGCATCAGAGTTCTGCCCAGCAGCACTACAGAACCAAACATGGCCACGACCCCAAACACCATCCCAGCACTGAACCTGCAACACACACAAACACACAGTGAATGACACCAAACCTCCTTGCAGATAAAATGTTTTTGAGTGTCTGATAAAAGTGCTTTGAACAGGGGATACATATTTAGTATCTAATGATCATGTATACATGCAACTGTGCATTAACGGCTGTGACTTCTTATGGGGGGATATGGATTTCTGTCACTGTCTACTTTGGATGGCTGAGTGTTAAAACCTGTTATGTGGAGGCAGTACTTCAGCCTGGCTGGCTCAAACTGTGAATTCCTTATGTGTTCCAAAATTGTGCTACATTACAGCCACCAAGACGATGATTAAAACAGTTTAGGTGTGAGTTATAAGACTTATGATGAACTAAGGTACGGTACAAAAACAGTCTTTAGGCTGAATCTTGGGAAATAACTGTGCAGCTGCTGTCAACCTTTTTCAAATGACATAACTGCTGCAGTATGAAGTGATCAAAGGCCTGTTAACATAAAAATCTATGTTGCATGTTATGTTGTGTGAGGTTGTGCCTCACGCACCACTACAACACAAAAAGGTGGCCTTTTAACTTCATAGCCACGGTGCAATAAAGGCTTATTAATTTCTAGAGTGCCATAGAAATGTATTTTCTGTTTGCTGATGTGTTTCAGGTTAGAATAACCCATACTGCAGTACTCATCACTTTTTGACAAGGTGCAGCCTCTGCATCACAGTCAAAGAGGCAGAAACAAGAAGCTTTAAGCCTTGAACATTATAAAAGCAGTAAAGTGAAACTGGACATAATTCTTAATGTAGTCATTAAACATGTACACACGTCCACATCCCACAGGCATCCCTGGTCAACTGACATATTTTGTTTGTTTTACTTTAATAAAAATAAGTTAACACGTTCTCCACATCCTCTCTAAACTATGGCATTTTTCTGAAACATTTTAGTGCACAATTCTTTTTATCTGCTAAGTCTAAAATACTGGATAAAAAAACCACAAAATATGTCAGAAGTTGTTTAGTTTAAGATGTTTTAGTTTTTGCCCCCAATCTGGTTAACTTAAGCAAATAAACAGTACATGCATTAAAATGTGCAGTGTGTTCTCTGTAGAGGAGGTGTGAAACTTATTTTATATAACTGTATGTATTTGTATTTGTGTGCATGCATGCACAGATATTATTTGTATAGAGACACAACACACAAAAAGATAAAAATATTGTTTTTATTATTACTTTTTTATTATCAGTGTATTGCACTACTGTCATCTTGTTATTGCTTTGGTAGTATTGCATGTAAAGCATGCATGTCCATAAAGCTCTTAAGAGAGTGTTACTCTGTCCAACATAATGGCACGAGGGAACCACAGATATCTGATATATTCTTCTAATAAAATGCAGAAATTTTAGCACAGTAACTCAGAATAGCATAAACATTCTATTACAATAATATACAACAAATATAGCACTAAATACCAGTTTGAAATGTTGGTCAAATGTAAACATCTACTCGATGCCAATATTTCAAGAAATTATTTGCTGATATTGAATCTGATTTTATCGTGAATCAATGAAAGGCAGTATTAATCAAAGCACTTGTCAGTGCAGAACACTGGTGGAAGTGAAAGCCTATTATGGGGAATGCCACCAAGTTTTCAAAAATACTGCATAATTAAATGAATAAGATGTCAAGTTATTCACGGTGGTTTAATGTGAAATGCTCTGTTCTAGAGAAACTTCAGTCAGAACTGTTCACAGTGGTGGTGATAGGAACCAGATGTCTAAAGTGTTTAATGCCTCAAAGCTCCAGAAAGTTGTTACAAGAAATATACTGCTTGATGTCTGAGACACTGTTTTATGATAGATGTCGTTTTGGATTATGCCTTTTTAAATTCGTTTATGGTGGAGGGGTACACGCAAGGCGTTGTGAGGTAAAATAATCCCCATAGGACATTTTTTTTTATTTTACCATTATAAACTTTACACATAAAAACTCATACATGTGTAGGTTCATTTTTGGTTTTTGGATAGTAAATAAAATGGCTGTATGTGTGTTGTAGACATGGTGACCCCTGGTTCCTATCACCACCACTGTAAAGAAAGAGTCTCTACGTTTCTCCACAATGAACTATTTCACATCACATTATTCTGAATGACTCTGTTTACTTCTTACTGTTTGAATTATGCAAAATGTTTGAAAAATTGGTGGAATTCCCCTTTCTGTCGAGTTTCAAGTGACAGGCATTCTGTAAAAGCACATAATGATACACTGAAGTAAAATCATTATACCATACCATATGTAAAGAAAGCGGGGGTTGAAATGTGCACATCTGGCAAAGAGGCGGTTGAAGAGGCTGGTGTGCCAGCGGATGTGGAAGGGGGACAATGAGAGGCCGTTAGCAGAAAGCCACGACTCATAGGAGCTCTTCACGGAGGGGGACGACTGCTGTGTAAAGATTTAAAAATAACATTAATTCATGTTCAACTTAAAATCTTTTACTCAAAATAAAATTTGGGTAACACTTTACTGTCATAAGGCTACATGACACCTATACAAGCTTGTCATGACAACTGACTAAATGCTTATTCCAATAGGCATCATCTGTCATAAAGACTACTTTAGCTAACCTTGATCAAAACTGGCAAATGTAACCTTTAGAATTACGCCTATTTGAATAAGCATTTATAAACATTTATGTAGGGTTAGGTCAGTTGTCATGACATGCTTATGTAGGTGTCATGTAACCTTATGAACAACACCCTACAGTAAAGTGTTACCAAAATGTTCTATTGTTTTGTTAAATGTCAGTGGTTTTGTGTTACCTGAAGACTGAATTTTATATAATAAATTGCAAAAAAAGAGATATTATATGATGAAATATTCATATGATCATTTCAAAATGTCTTCAGATTTATGTTCAGGCAAACTCAGAACACATGTGGACCAAATAAAATTTAAGATACGGACATCATTATAGCAGCTGACTAGCTAAATGTCTATGCAAAAAATAATTTATAGCACATTGAACAAGAAACTCTATCATGTAACCAAAAGAGAATGAAATATAATTTAGTCAGAATTTAGGTCTATCTAACAACCTAGTTACCTACTAGGGATGCATCAGTATAAGAATTGTAAGTCAACGCCGAAATCTGATATTTTTCATATAATATGTGTCAATGTCCGTACATAAACAACTTTACAATGTAAAACTGAGACTACATTTACTTGGAATAGAATTATAGAGAAATAAAGCATTTATTTATATATGGTACCAAATGCAGTAAAATAAATAAAATGCAAAAACAAACAAATTAATATTGTCACCAAAACATCCTGGTCTTCCAAAGTGCAATAAGTGCATCATCAAATACTGGTTTGAAATAATGGTCAAATCTAAACAATGCTGTCCAACGCTGATATTTTTTTTAAGCAATTATTGTCCGATACCAATATGATTCTGATACTAATGTGCAGCCTCAAAAGCCACCCATCCCTAACTAGTAAATCACTGCTGTCAGAAGAAAACCTCATATCCCCATTTTTATCAATTTTCAGTTTTTGACATAATTTAAAAATGTCTGTTGTCCTTTACATTGTGTGTAAATGTCATGACGAATGGACCAAAAGAAACAACTCAAAATTACTTGGAAAAAGTCTGGTTCCATTGACTTACATTAAAAGTAAAGCAGGTTTTTTCCTTTTCCTGTAAAGTTACCATTTTGGGGATACGAGGTTTTCTTCCGACAGCAACGATATGCTACATCCAGGTTACATTACAAGTAACAGTGGATTTACATAAACAGTCAAAATGCAAAGGCAACTATTTAGAATTTACACTCATTTTATACATTACAAGACACAAACTACACACAAATAAATGAAGTTTAATGTGTAAATAATCTCAGAGGCAGAGTTAGAGTTGGGAATTTACATTTACTCAGTTAACATGTATTCACAATAAAATTGAATACATTTTTATTTTCAAATGATAGGTTAATACTAATTATCAATGTTTTACTCAGTTACATATTAGTCCTTAAAGGGGAACTCCAATGATTTTTGAAAAATTCTACATAATTAAAAGGTTGAGATGTAAACAGTCATTCAGAGAGGTTTAATGTAAAATGCTCTGTTCTAGAGAAACATACACAGTCAGAATTGTTCGCAGTGGTGGTGACAGTAACCAGACGTCTGAGGGTTTAATGCCTCAGCTCTCTCACAGAAAGTTATTGCATGGAATATTTAGATATGCTGCTTGATGTCTGACATTTTGTTTAAGATAAAGAAGGCTTAAAAAGTATTTTAATTTATTGATTTTAATCCATCTACGGCAGACGCAGGGTGTTGTAAGGCAAAGTAGTCTGTAAAAAGTAAAACTTATTTTTTTCCTGATTTACCACTGTTTTTCCATCATCAGCATCACATATATAAACTCAGAAGACATGTGTACGGTTACTGGTGGTTTTGGATATTAAATAAAATGGCTGTACTTGTGTTGTAGACATGTTGACCCCAGGTTCCCATCACCACCACTGTAGGGAAATCTGAGTTTGTAAGTTTCTCTATTAAAGTATCAAATCTCCCTGAATGACTCTTTCTACATCTCAAGGACTGAATTATAGTTATTAGTTACTAATAATTATTGTTTCGGTTTAATTTCATTATGTTACGTTATTGAATGTATCTGTACGGCTTTGTCATTAGTCACATCTCTGACTTTTGAGGTTTGTCAATAATCTGATCATAATCCGATTTCTGCAGTAATCTGATTATCCAAATGGTCATGTAAACAGCATACTCTGAGTTCTTAGATCGGAGTAAGGTCTTGTAAGAAATCTGATAAAGAGAGATGGATTGTAGCTCAGTAGTCTACTGAGCCCTGCTGGTGACATCCCTGTGTAAATAAAAATAATGCGTGGCCACGCCTTATTAACTCGTGGGAACGAGATCCTCATGTGCGTCCACGACTTAGTAAGGCGTGGGAACGAGATCACGACTTACTAAGTCGCGGCCATGCATTAGGATCTCGTTCCCACGCTTTACTAAGTCGTGGCCACGACTTAATCATCTCATTCCCACGCATTACTAAGTCGTGGCCACGCATTATTTTTATTTATACAGTCTGTCACCAGCGGGGCTCCGTAGTAATGAGATTTCTCAGTCAACAACTCTTACCCGGATTTCTCAGTCTGCGCATGTGCGAAACAGACCGCGGTAAACGAATTAGCAAACCGTTGCCGCGAGACGCAGCAAAACACTTTTGGAGCGACGCTAAACCAAATACATGCTTGACAAAATGAAGGATTTAAATATTCTTCATCTTCTGGATAATGTTTGTTCATAGTTTCACTTTAAAGTGGTGATGTTTTAAAAAAGCCGCGGCATTAAGATTTACGTTTACAACTAACGTCATGTTTTGCTGATACATGCTAAAAGCGTCATGACGTTCAGCTGTAGCTCCATTAGCCGTTTTGGAAAAGTTCTTTTTCTTGAGTTTGGATTTAGGCTTCACCACACACAGCAAGCTGGCCCACCGTAACGGCACCTATTACCGACAGGGTAAGTTACACGAAGCTGAAATCAGCTTCTTGTTCAAATTTTCCGTTCCACCTTAAATGGTGCGGCAGGTACACTCTTGCGCCTACAGCAGTACGTAGCTTCAGCTCCATTTAAGGTGGAACGGAAAATTCGAATTAAAAACCTGACGAACAGCCAAATTCAGCCTCAGTAGCGTTTCCTGTTTCTGTTTTTTAAATAATCTCCAGAGAAGACTATTTGCTTGGTCACTATAAGCCACACGTTTTACCCACTTTAGTATGGCTCATGTTTCGGTAGTGCTAAAATAGTGAAGTTTCACTGAAGTTTTACAAACACAACAGATATTTGAGTCCAAAGTGCAGAGGAGAAACGTCGATATGAAATGGTCCGTTGTAGAGAAACTTCCAGACTCTGATTTCTTTACAGTGGTGGTGATAGGAACCAGGGGTCACCATGTCTACAACACAAATATAGCCATTTTATTTACTATCCAGAACCACCAGTGAACCTACACGTGCCTTCTGAGTTTTTATATGTAATGTTGATGGTAAAATAGTGGTAAAGCTTTTTCTTTGGGCACTATTTTGCCTTACAACGCCCTACATTCGTTAAAATAAATGACTTAACAAGACGTTTTAGGCCAAAACTTGTGTCAGACATCAGGCAGCGTATTCATAACCGTTTCATATGACGTAATAACTTTCTGAGTGGGAGCCTTCAGAGGTGGACGTCTGGTTCCTATCACCACCACTGGGAACAGTTCTGTTCTCAGTGACTCTTAGACTCAGTGAGTTTCTCTAGAGTGGAGCATTTCACACTAAACCACTCTGAATGACTGTGTTTACATCTCAACTATTTAATTACATGGAACCTTTGGAAAAATTGGTGGAGTTCCCCTTTAAGGCATCATGTCAGTTATTTAGTAGTACTCTCAGAACACTTCCTAATGCTGAGGTTGTGGAGTGGTTAAATGTCCTGTTGCCCAGCATCTGTATGAATATTTTGGACACGGCAGTGAGAACAGTAGGTGATCTGTTTGTCCATTAAGCAGTAAACAGTGCTTTACCCTGAGCGCTGTGTCCAGCAGATAAACAGCGCACCAGCCTCCCAGCACACACACCACCACCGGGATGGGGATCATCGCTCCAGCCAAATCACACAGATCAGCGGCACATTCTGACCGAAAACGAGCATCTAAAGAGAAGAAAATGACCACACATACACACACCAACACCACACACGCTCACACTGCTGCCCTGCTTCCGTATTGACACTCAGCGCAGCACGGAGAGTCGAACCAGGAACGCTGTGAAGGATCAGTGCGCGTAGTGGATCCCAGAGAAATAGAGTTTCACTATTTTCATTTATGTATAAAGCGGAATTTCACACATAAAAAAAAACAACAACACAAAGCTGTCAAAGTCATTCAGAGAGATTTGATGTGAAATGGTCCGTTCTAGTTCAGAGTGGTGCTGATAGGAACCATTTTGATAGGAACCAAGCGTTTAATTCATCTAAAAGCTACATCACATAAAGTTATTTAATGAAAGTCACGGATGCTTGATGCCAGAGACACTGCGTGTCATAAAAAGACAGATATTCAGTTTTATGCTTACAGCTCTGTTTAGAGTGAGAGGGACTTTTGGGGCTCTTACGCAGAGTCTGCGCCGTAGCCCCGCCCCCTCTCCACAAAACGGACTAGTCGCTGTTGTTGCTTGTTTGTTTTAGATGCGTTTATCTGTTATTTGTGTAATGTTGGGACAATTGCACTGTCACTAGCTTAGCTGTGGTTTAGAGTTTAACCCGAGTTTAAACGTGAATGGGTTTTCAAACTGCATTGAAGTCCTCAGGAGCAGCACCTGCGGTTTAAACTAAGCCCAATGGCTGCGTCACACATCTGCCACTAGATGTCGCTGTATCTCAGGTCTAACCAAGGTTTATCTTAAACCTGCTAAAGACACGGTTTTGCTGAGGTTTAGTTCACATATTTTAATATTCCATATCTAGGTGAATACACCATAATGTTTTGTGAACTTCAAGGCATGTTTTTAATAAATACTCTATTGCCTTATTAAACACACATTGAGGTACTGTACTCAACTAACATTAATCGTTGCAATCTTGATTAGGCTTTTTCAGAATGTATTGTTCAGAGAAGCTAAAGATGACCTGTATTTAGGCTGTCACTGTTATTGACTTAAAGGAAAACTCTAGCATCTCATGTCAGCAAACATTTCATTCTTCCTTTTCCCACCACAAGAAAGAAGGCTGAACAATTAAAAATGATTTGCAGCAAATGCTTAGTCCGGGGTCAGTGTGCAGTGTTATAGTGGGCCAGTGTGGGGTCAGCATGCAGTGTTATAGTGGGCCAGTGTGGGGTCAGTGTGCAGTTTTAAAGTGAGCAAGTCTGGGGTCAGCATGCAGTGTTAAAGTGGGCCAGTGTGGGGTCAGCGTGCAGTGTTATAGTGAGCCAGTCTGGGGTCAGCATGCAGTGTTATAATGGGTCAGTGTGGGATGAGCATGTGGTGTTAAGGCAGCCCAGTGTGGGGTCAGTGTGCAGTGTTATAGTGGGTCAGTGTGGGATGAGCATGTGATGTTAAGGCAGCCCAGTGTGGGTCAGTGTGGGATGAGCATGTGGTGTTAAGGCAGCCCAGTGTGGGTCAGTGTGTAGTGTTAAAGTGGGTCTGTGTGGGGTCAGTGTGCAGTGTTATAGTGGGGTCTGTGTGGGGTCAGTGTGCAGTGTTATAGTGGGGGCAGTGTGGGGTCAGTGTGCAGTGTTAAAGTGGGTCAGTGTGGGGACAGTGTGCAGTGTTAGTGGGCAGTGTGGGGTCAGTGTGCAGTGTTAAAGTGGGTCAGTGTGGGGACAGTGTGCAGTGTTATAGTGGGCCAGTGTGGGGTCAGTGTGCAGTGTTAAAGTGGGTCTGTGTGGGGTCAGTGTGCAGTGTTATAGTGGGGCAGTGTGGGGTCAGTGTGCAGTGTTAAAGTGGGTCAGTGTGGGGACAGTGTGCAGTGTTATAGTGGGCCAGTGTGGGGTCAGTGTGCAGTGTTAAAGTGGGTCAGTGTGGGGACAGTGTGCAGTGTTAAAGTGGGTCAGTGTGGGGACAGTGTGCAGTGTTATTGTGGGTCAGTGTGCAGTGTTAAAGTGGGTCAGTGTGGGGACAGTGTGCAGTGTTATAGTGGGCCAGTGTGGGGTCAGTGTGCAGTGTTAAAGTGGGTCAGTGTGGGGACAGTGTGCAGTGTTATTGTGGGTCAGTGTGGGGTCAGTGTGCAGTGTTAAAGTGGGTCAGTGTGGGGACAGTGTGCAGTGTTATTGTGGGTCAGTGTGGGGTCAGTGTGCAGTGTTAAGTGTTGGTGTGTAGCTGCGTGTTAGACCCCTGAAGGTACTGGTTTAGCTGAACCCGTGTTAAACTGAGACTAAACTGCTGCTAAGCTAATGACAGTGCAGTTGCCCCAGTGTGTTCGGGTGTGGGTTTAGTTTGAGTAGGTTGAAGCGTCTACAATGTAGTGACAGTACATAGCTAGAAGTGACCTCCCCGCTAGTCTAGCAGTAATTCAGTAGCATTTCTGCCTGAGATTAAAGAGCGTTTTCTAAGAAGAAACAATGCTTTTCTCTGGCACTTGTGACCACCACAAGCTGCCTAAATTATGTAAATTTATACCTGGCTAATATTGTTAATTATTTTTGTTTGGGGTTGTAATAAGTTACATTTTAAATTTCAGATAATCTTCACATTCTCAATCCAGGGGTCTGTCTCACCTCTCAGTATTTCTTGCTAACCCAGCTAACTTTAAACATAGTTCGCTCTAACCCTGGTGGCAGTGGTGGATTTATTTTTTTTTACCATTATAAAAGTTTTATTTTCTCACTGCATATTTAGGTGGTATGGTTTTATGTCTAAACCTCAATTAATCACAATCTGAGTGTCTGAACTTGGATTAACCACAGTCTGAGTATCTAAATCTGAATTAATTACAGCTTGAGTATCTAAACCTGGAATAATCATAGCCAGAGTCTGTAATCCTGGATTAATCACTGCTTGAGTCTGTAACCCTGGATTAATCATAGCCCGAGTGTCTAAACCTGGATTAATCACATCTTGAGTTTCTAACCCTGGATTAATCACAGCCTGAGAATCTAAACCTGGATTTATCACAGCCTAAACAAATGGCAAATAGGCTACATTCACATTACAAGCCTCATTGCTCAAATCTGATTTTTTACTCAAATCCGATCTCTCTGACAACGATGGTTCACGCTCGTTTAGGTAAGTGATTCAAATCTGTCATTAATGTGATGAACCGGCGTCCTGAAGTGACCCGCATGAGCACATCCTACTCAGTAACGTCACGTGAATGAATCACGTTCATCATCAACTCTGATCAGCTCTCAGCTTCATTATTAGAGTGAGACGAAGGTAAAAAAGGTGAGATGAGCTGCTTTTCCACCGTTTACAGGCTTTAACTTCTGTTCGGCGCTGCTGCCATGGTAACGCTGAATGATGGCGCATGCACAGTGGGAAAAAAAAACGATTGAATTCTGATCTGAGCGTCACATTAAGGTCGCACGGCCACGGTCGGATACGTATCCGTTCTAGGACCACATATGAAAGTGGTTCAGGCCGGATTTGAAAAGATCAGATTTGCGTGTCCACACAGCCCTGAAAGCATCAGATCTGAGTCACTTTAGGGCAAAAAATTGGATTTGTGCCAGTTTAACCTGGTAATGTGAACATAGCCTTAGGGCTGTTTTATGTCCTTTACAAAAATAGTCACATGTAAAAAAAAAATGTGTTTTTTGCACAATTGCCATGTTAAAAACTTGTGTTCACATGTTAAAAATGTGTGATAACATGAAAAAAATTAACACCTGGCTTTTGCACACTTCACATGTGGAATATATGTGACTTTACTGTAAGGGCGTAGGCCTATTTCTATGAATACCGTATAGTAGGTGTATTTCTATGAATGTGAGGACTAAAACATGTCATACTGTAATGTTTTTAAAAAGCCAGCACTGCCACCTGTTCTGAAATTGATTCTTGATTCTTGGACTTGGCAGATGAACAAAGCCACCACTGCGCAGTTTCTATTGAATGCTGGCATCTAGTGCTTGTATCCAGCAATCTCCAGTCATTTTTTCCTGTACTTCAACCTTTACTGACATATGTAAATAATTACTGGGAATTCCAAGGACGATGAGGTTTTAACACAGCCTAATATCTAAGCAAATGAAGGCAAAAGGTGCCACAAATGTCACGAAAGGTCACAGGCCGAGAGCGGGTGCCACTGTTAAGCAAGCCAAGCTGCTGTGACTTTGAATGTAGACTACAGATCATAATTCTGGAACGAGGAATAGTGATTGGTTTTAAATGTTGAGATCCTAAATACAGCAATAAGAACTGTGAGATCTTTCTGTACAGGAACAAGATCAAGCCGGCTGGCTCATGAGGAAAAGAGGCAGACAGTAGCGATTCAGATAAGTGGACATTATGAAAAGAGTCATTATCTAAGATTATCAAGGTGTTGCAGATAGACAGCAATTATGGTGATAGGAGGGGAGGCTGGTGTCTTATGTAAGGTCACCAAGTCGATCTGTCTGTGAAGGCCTACAGTTAGGCCTCCTCTTCTTTGGTCCAGTCTGTTCTTTGTTATTTCAATGAGCCACACCAAGTATTTTCCTGCTGCCTGTTGTGCTGTTTGCTTGCCAGGTTTGGGCCAGACACGTTGGTGAGATCATGGCCAATGGACAGGAGGCTGAAGCTCCATGTGGGTGCCACAGAGTGGACGGTCAAGGAGGAAGTGTGCGACGTGCCAGTTAAGGGTGGAGCGCTTAGGAGTGGATTTGCATAGATCTGTCGTCTGCGTGGAGATGCTACACTGACAGCTCAGTAACCTGCGAAGGTCAGAGAGAGAGAAGTGAAGCCAGTCTGCACACAGTCTTCAATCAGGTAAGGTACTTCAGAGAGATGCTATGGATGGATTGAGGTACAGGCAGAAAAAATAAAGATTCCTCAGTTGTTCTAGCTTTGGATTGTGGCTCTAGGGAAATTAATGTAACCATATGCAGTTACATTATGTGAAAGGGAAATTCTACCAAGTACTAAAAATTTCTGCAGAATTCAATAGTTGAGATGTAATCAAGTTCAGAGTGGTTTAATGTGAAATGCACAGTTCTAGAGAAACTCAACTCTGATTTCTTTACAGTGGTGGTCATATGAACTAGTTACGTTTTATATGTAATATTCATGATGGTAAAGTAGTGGTAAATCTTTGGGTGCTACGTTGCCTTACGGCACCCTACATGTAAGTATAAATAAATAAATAAATGTGTCAAAACGTTTTTTCAAAACTGTCCTAAAAGTATGTTTCTCAGGCATCAGATGATGTCCTTGTATCCATTTTATTTATTTGTTTGTTTGTTTTACAGTTGTATGCTAAAGTTTGGGTTCTCCTGGTTCACATGAAATGTTTTGTTGCTTTTCTAAATGAAAAAAAAAATCTACAAAGAACACACTTCTGCACGGTTGCTGTTTATTTGCTGAAATTAACATGCTGGAAAAATGATTTAAAATAATAATAATAATAATAATAATAATAATAATAATGTGGTCTGTGCAAAAGTTACCCAGGGTACATTTAAAGGTACATTCTTATATTTTACGCCCCAACCCCCCCCCAATGTGTATTTTAGGAAAATAAATAGAAACTGTGCACTAAAATTAGCAGAACAATGTCATATTTATGTCTGTAGAGGGTGTGTTAACTTGTTGTCACTTAGAAAATCAACAAAACATGTCATTTGACTGGGGGTGTTCAAACTTTGCATATGACTGTAGCTTTTAGAGGCACTGAACACTCCTGGTTCCTGTCACTATCACTGTAAACGGTTCTAACACAGTACATTTCTCTAGAATACAGCATTTCATATCAGAACACTTTGAATATTTTCCTCATTTAATTAGGAAGAAATTTAAATCATATACATCATTTATTATTTAAAGAACCATTCATTGAAAGGTTTTTTATGGAATCACAAAGGAACCCTCTGACACCTTTATTTTTATAGGTGTCAAAGAGCAGAACAGCTGGCTTCTTTATTAGACCCTTATATAATGACTGCCTATGTTTTCTTCTCAATCTTACATTCACTGACATTATTAAATGTCTGAGTGTCAATCCACTGCCGACTGAGTGAGTGTAGATCAGTTCAGATGCTTTGTTTGCATAATGGTATTTTAACCTGCTTCTCTGGGGCTGCTATACAAACTAGTTTTGTGAGTTAGCTTGATAAGCCAAAAATGAGGGTTGTCCAATATGAACATCCTTTGCTCTTCTTCTATTGGTCAGACTTGACTTTGGGCTTATGTTGTTTGTCTAACTGAGAAGTGACACAAGATTTTTAGCCTGTTATGGTCAGCTGAAACCGGCCTGGTTTGGGCCTGAGAATGCTGCAGACTGGCAGAACTGGTGCCACAGGGAATGAGTTGTCATGTCAAACTGTGAGCCAATCAGAAGGCTCCCTGGACAATTTAAGCTCCGCACGCCAGAGCTTAAATTGGGTCAGGATCTTAATAAGGAGCGAGCATTACTGAGCTTGTCTGAGACAGGGGAGAAGGAGAGGACCTGAAAGAGGCCGTGGTGTTTTGCGTTACTACAGCGAGGAACGTAGCGCGGATCTTGCTTTGACATCACAACAGGTAAACTTCAGAGGGGCCGTGGCTTTTGACGCTTCTCTGACGCTGAATAGTTGGGGGTTTCATGCATCCATTAGTTTCTTAGCTTTAATTCTCATCTCAGATCTTTCTGTCAGTTTAGCAGTTTAAGTTGGAATGGAGTTAATTGGAGTTTAAGGCATTGCTCCATTTTCCTCATCACACCCTCCATGTACATCGAGGCCGTTTTGATCTGGGTTGAAGCTAAATATACTCATAGAGTGTGTTCATGGGCCTGGTGGCAATTTAAATATGAATGCCGGTTAATTTTATGTTTACCTCATGTAACTTACGTTTGATTGAAGTGTCACACTAGAGGAAGTATGACTCGCAGAATATAATTGTATGTGGCCTTTTCTTATCAGTGCATTAGAGGGGTCAGAGACTTAAGAGATGGCATTAATGACACTGATAGTGAGCTTTTTGATGAGAAAATGAGCCTGAATGAGGATTCGTCCATGTGAATGAAGCAGGCATGACTGAATGAAGCCAGGCTGTTAAAGCAATAAATTGTATACTTATGGAAAAACAGTCCAATGCAAACTTCAGAGAGCACTCTTCATTTATTAAATTTACAGCCAAAATGGCACTTAAGTGCAAAGGTATTAAGAATTCATTTTTTAGGAGATATTTCTGAGAAGATATAAGATAATCCATTTCCATAAGGTAGGGTAAAGACAAAGGAAAATAAATGAAAAAATGGGTCTCCTAAAAACCTGGTAGACCACCAAAACTGTCCCCATCAGATAAACAGCACTTAAAGCTGTTGTCTTTGAGAGAGAGGAGAAAATCAAGCTGCTTCACATCTGAAAACATCCACAGCCATCCTTCCACTGTGAGAAGACGACTCAGCGCTATGGGTCTGAAAGGATGTGTAGCTGTCAAGAAGAACCTCACTGAGAAAAGGAGACGGACACATCAAACAAAGAAGCTGAACAATGGACTGACCACCCCAGAGTCCAGACCTCAACATCACTGAATGTGTTTGAGATTATTTGGATTGCGTGAAACAGAAAATACCAACTTCTAAGACTGAACTTTGGAGGTGTGGAAAAATATCCCTGCAAACGAGTCTTCCAAAAATAAGGCAAAAGGAGGTAATGTGTACTAAGTACCGAAAAAATGATATTATATTTAGTTGATGAGGCCTCTGTGTAATTTATTGGTAAATATTTGTTCTCTGCTTTGGAAAATGAGTAACTTGTACTTAATGACCATTTTAACTGTAAATTAATCAAAAAAATCAATGAGGGCTGATCTCTGACCTTTGCACAGTGCTGTGTGTGTGTGTGTGTGTGTGTGTGTGTGTGTGTATATATGTATGTATGTATATCGTTGTTGTTGGAAGAGAAACTTGTATCTCCAAAATAATAACTTAACAGAAGAAGGAAAAAATCTACTTTACTTTTAATGTAAGTCAATGGAACCAGACTTTTTTCCAGGTCATTTTGGGCCGTTTCTTTTGGTCCATTCTTCATGTAATTTACACACAATGTAAAGCGTAACAGTTATTTTTAAATTATGACAAAATCTGAACCCCCCCCCCAAAAAAAAAATGGAGATACAAGGTTTTCTTCCAACATCATATATATATATAAATTCAACATTTTGCAATATAGTCCATTTTCCTTTGGGATTTCACATGACTGTGAGTTTGACTGTGTATGTGGCTTTGACGCAATCTAAGAGTAGGCCTTAACTAACTATATATCAGTGTGTGAGAGTTACACAGAGAGAGTGTATGAAGAAGTGACTGTGATGAGTGTGTGGTCAGTGTAGATAGAAAGCAGTGTGTATCACACGGCTATTTATAGTGAGAACAAATCCCAGATATGAGAGGAATCCCTTTGCCACTCTGCAACCTAGAGAGAGGGACAGAGAGGCAGAGAGAAGGAGAGCGAGTCCATCGAAGACACCGCCGGACCACGCGGGACCAGACTGGCCCATTAAGGAGAGAGGGAGAGAGCGGGACGAAGAGGAAGTGGCACGTCCGCACCTGGCCTGGCCTAAACACGGAGGAAAACGCCGTTGGACAGTTCTAGCAGTAGGTAAGACGCTGAAGGGCAAGAGAAGATGAATGGCTGTCCTTATGTGTGATGGTATATGAGTGTTGAGAGTCTTTGGGTAGCTGGCGGGTCACACTTGTTTTCTTATAGTATAATGTATCACAGTTTTTGGAAGTCTGCAGTGTCGGCACGCTAAGAGCCAAATAGTACTTATAAATAAGCATGTATTTTGACCTACTGCTTAACTTAAAAAAACTCATTTAAATAGTTTATACAACCACCATAACAAAACCTCATATCTCCAAAATGTCACATTTATAGGAGAAGCAAAAGGAAATTCTTAAATGAATAAGTTAATTAAATGTTAAAGATGTAGTCAAAGTCATTCAGAGTGGTTTGATGTGAAATGCTCCATTTTAGAAAAACTTAACAAGTCAGAATTGTTCACAGTGGTGGTGATAGGATGTAGGAAGAGTTTAATGCCTCTAAAAGCTCCATCGCAATAAGTTATTACATGCAGTGGTTTCAAATGCACCGCTTCTGCACCAGCCTACCAGCACCTCTTTTACAAATAATTTATGTGAAGCACGCCTTATTTCATGCCAATGTTTCGTTGAGGAGCCAACGAAAAATGTACATGCTTAAATTTAAACTTAAATTTACATGCATTCTGCCAGATGTGAGTTTGACTGTATACATATGCCAAAGATGAAATTGATAAACAATTGAAAAAAATGTGGTTTTAACATGACAAAATATGCAACACGACAAAATATGCAAATGAATTAACATGCAAATAGAGCTAAACTGCCAGCTTGCTTTGGACCTTTTCTTTCTCTATAAATAAAATCACCAATGCTTACTTCTGTAAATTCTAAGCTTTTTATTATCGTATCAATTTAACATAAATAAAACAATACATCTTCTACAAAGAACACAGTAGTGCACAATTTGTAATTATTTGCTGAATTTAACATATAACTAAATATAAAATGTGCTATAACTTTTGTTATGGTTTCCACTTTGTTAAATTTAGTAAATAAAACAATAATTGTGGATAAAATGTGCAGAAGTGTTTTCACTTTAGAGAATGTGTTCATTTATATTGAAAATCAACAAATATTTGATTTAGATAGATGTTTGTTCTGTACAAATTCATATTTCAACTAATTAGGAAGCTGTAAAGAAAAAAAATGACATTTTAGATCTGTTCACGATGAAAAACAGCTGTAGATGATTTAATGATAAATAAGAAAGCTGCATAACAATGAGAATGTAGTTATATCCAAAATGCTTCATATTTCAAACCAAAAGCTATTATTTAAATGCATGAATATTACTAACCTAATTCTCGTTCAGTGACTAGATTTTGAAAGGTAAGGATATAAAGCCACAGAGTTTGTTCTTCTTGGCGTGAAGTCATGGATTTGTCTAGTTACACCTTGAAGGAACATCCAGCCCATTTGTTAGAATACATGTCATTTTCACAAGCAAATTTTCTGGTTTGTTAGAAAACAGCAGTCAATGTGACCAAAAGTCTACAATTAATGTGATAAATGAACTTTTTAGCCATATGGTTTAATCGTTTGATGTCATTTCTTCAGGTTTGTGGACCAAATTCAGCATTTCAGAAATGGATATTAATAGGGTTAATGCAGTATATATGATGTTATTGACCCTGAGGGTGGAGGTTTTGGGCCCTGCAGCCTTTGGGCCTACAGACTCAGTGCATTCACTAAAGATAGGTCAATTTAAAGGGCATAACGTCCACTTAACATTCAGTCTGAGGTTTCAGCGCTGCGAAAAACGCTGCTGGCAGCAGTGTTTTGGTAGTATAAGGACGAGGTGAACGTCCTTATAGGCCTCTAAACACGGCCCTGAGGCCACAGCATCGTGCTGCTTTGCATAATAAACAGTGCGCGTTTGTGCTGTGGGCTCTTTCATAACACACCTGGCATACATGGCACTATTGTTAGAAATCAACATGTGTTCAGAGGAAGACCGAATTTGACGTTTGGTTTGAATAATGGAGTCTGTGGTGACACAGTGAGATAACGCAGGCGAGAGAGAGTAGAGGTAGGGAACAGTTTTATATTCATAATCACAATCAAATAAATTCAATGCTTTACATTTTTACAATGTTCATATATATATATATATATATATATATATATATATATATATAATATATATATATAATATATATACTGAACATTATAAAAATTTAAAGCAAAACAGCAGACAAAAGATGAGGAAAGCAGTAGTCACCAACCATCCTCCAGGAGGACTACTTTCCTGCAGAATTTAGCACCAGCTTGCATATAACATGCTGCCCCACCCCCTTACTTAACACTAATGCATCTGATCCAACCAATCAGGGAGTTCTGAAGATGTTAATTGGCTGGAGCACATGTGGCACTCCATAGCAAGGTGGGTCTCCAGGACAGTGGTTGGTGACCAATGCAGTAAACCATGGCATGGTTTTCATTTCCACTTTTAAGGGGCATTGGGAGGCACTGCCCATACCACTACTCCTTTACAGTGAGACTCAACTGGACGTTAAAACCAGTATAATGAAAATAGTTGACGCTGTCAAAAGCTGATGTGAGATAACAGAGCAGAGAAGAATTAACCTCATGTAGAAGACGCTGACTGCCTCTCATCTAGTGTTAACCTGACTGGGTTGTGACCCACAGGAGCTAAAAGATTTCCCTTCGCTTTCGAATGAATGAGGAAGTTTGCTTAGTACAAAAATAATTTTAATAAATGTTCTCCTCTGTCTGCTTCCTTTGTGCTACTAAATTTGTTGTACAGTTATGTTGTATAGATCAGTGTTTCTTCTTCCTGCACTTTTTAGTGTTTTTACTGCTTCCAACACACCCGATACAACTTATCGGCCCATTATTGAGTTAAAGTGGGTGTGTTAAAGCAGGAAAAGCACAAAAATGTGCAGAACGGTGGGCCTCCAGGACCAGGGTTGAGAAACACTGGTATAGATGACCAACAAAGTAATGTTACAGCAATTCTTGGACAATTTATGGTCCAAAAGTGGACACCTGGCAAGCCTAGATAGACATACATGGGTGTCACTTAGACACAAAAGTTTAGCTGTAGATGTAGAAGCTTTCTTATGATGGGGGAGTCACCCCCCTCCATCCACTAACCCCTTAAAAGGCCAGGGACCAAAGTTTTATTACACACTTCTATAACCTAAGAATAGCTCAGACAGTTTGCACTGAAGTCCCTGTATTTACTGTATAATAAGCCTTAGTATGTAATAAGCCAGGATTTTAAGGAGATAAAGGGGGCACGTATCTCTAACCCCCCTTAAATGTATGCCTATGTGATAAACAGTTTTGTGAACAGATTGGTGTCATTGCTAACTCATATCTCTAAAAGGTACAACCTCCATCCTCTAACCTTTCAAAACAGTGTTACAACTAAGCCTTCCAGTGAATACAGTGAGAGACATCCATAAGTCCCCTCATACAAATATGAATGGGGGGACTTATACACACATCAACCCCCTTAGGCCATTAAAACAGTGCAGTTAAACTGTACAGAGTAAGCTGTAACATTTGTGATGCGCTTTCATCTGAATTCTTCTCCAGTTGTAGGTGCTGGAAACAAAGTTTGCATTTTCATTTGTGTAGGTTGGTTGTAAAAAAAAATATGAATCTTGTGCAAATACATTCCCCATTTTCCCCCAAATATATATAGTTCTGAAGTTTGGAATCACCTGCTATATTACAATGTATTACAATATTAGGAATGCATGATGTCACGATCTTAGCAATACTGGCAAATGATTGTTATAAAGAGCTGATTGTTATATACTGGCATCGGACAGATGATTAAATTTTTCAGACTCATATTCGATGATGAATTTATTGTACTCTGGAACATTTGGGTGACACTGGGCTACTATATATATATATTTGCATTTCATATAATGTGCTTCATTTGTAAGCTAATTAATGTTATATTTCTCGGTAATGCTGATCCAGGTGGATTTAGGCCTAATTACATTTGATAATCCGATAACTGCAGAAAATCAGATTTTGTCAGTAATCCGATCAACACATTTACATGCTTTTGAGTAATCAGATAATGGGGAAACTCTGGGTCTACATAAGTCAGGCGGTAATCAGATTTCTTCTTTGCAACCATCCAGTAAACTCACAGAAGACGTGACATAAACGTAACGTAAAACTCAAACTTCATGCCACGTTTTATTTAAAAAATCACACAACTTTACCTGAAAATATGAAGATACATCATTTAGAAGATGAAGAATATTTAAATCCAGTTCTCTTTAACGGATTTCTTAATCGGATTTCTAGATCGGAGTGTGTTTACATGACCATTTGAATAATCAGATAACTGCAGCAATCTGATCATGATCGGATTATTGAGTGCATGTAAACGCACTCATTGTTAAATGCTAACACTCTGTATAATCTTATTACATGTCCAGTCATATGCAGTTAACACATCCTCTACAGAGAACACACACACACACATTTTAATGCAGTTACTGTTTATTTGCTTTGTGTAATATTGGAAAAGCAATAAAACATAAAATGTGGCCTGTGCGAAAGTTATGGCACATTTCTTTCACTAAAAGTTGCAGAAAAATGCCATATTCAAGTGTGCTCTCTGTAGAGGACGTGTTCACTTACTTTCACATAGAAAAACACAACATGTCATTTGACTGGGGATGTTCACACTTTTGCATATGACTGAACATACAACTACAGTGGTTTTCATGAAAGCATTGATTCCAAACTGTTGCATGCCTGTGTATGGGAGTAAAATATGTTGGGAGGGGGGTGAAGTACTGTTTAATGTGGGGTATGTGAGCGGAGGCTGTGTGCAGGGCAGCTGGTCTCTCTCTGTAGAGATAAATATAGCGGCGCTCAGGGCCCGAGCTGCAGACCACTTTAAGTCCCCAAGCCCCACTGTTGATGTAAACAACAACCCAGTTACGGTCGCTAAGGCTGCTAGCAATGTGCTAGTGTATCTCCCCCACTGCGAGCTCA